ACCTAGGGCCATAGCATACAGATTGGGGGCATGCACCCCCGGGAGGACTCTGGCACAACCCCTGCAGCCTTCCCATGGGTGCGGGTGAGCCCCCGATCTGTGCACAGGATGACAGGAGCTGGGTGCTGTTGGCTGGACTGGCGCCGGGAAGATTGGTGCTTCTGCTGGTCCCAGGTGGCAGCACTTGGCTCCTGTCATCCTGCACACAGATCGGGGTCCCAGCAGCACTCCCAGGAGCGCTGCGGGGGCTTGCTGGAGTCCTCCCAAGGGTGTGTGCCCCTGATCTGTGCGCAGGATGGCAGGAGCCACATGTTGCCGCCTGGGGCCAGCAGCAGAAGCGATCTTCCTGGTGCTGGGTGCAGACTGTGCCCAGCACCAGTCTGTCACCTGGCAGACAGATTGGGGGCATGCACACCTGGTAGGACTCCAGCACAGCTCGCACAGCCCTCCTGGGGGTGCAGGCGAGCCACCAATCTGCCTGCCAGACGAGAGTAGCTGGGACTGGTGCTGAAGCCAGTAAGCCTGGCTTTGAAACTTGAAACATTTTGAGTTCCCTTGTTTTGTTTCAAAGCTGTTTCCAAGACCCAGCTTTTGTTTTGTTTCAATTTCACTGTTTCAAGCTTGAAATGCATCAAAACAGCTTTGAAACGAAATGCTGGGTGAAATTTTGCACAGCCCTACTATCTATAAAATAGGACTCCAAATTTGGTGGAAAAGGTGAAGAAAACCAAACATCTACTCTGTTCTGCAGACAAAATTGCACACTAGCAATACCTGGATGAATCTGAAGATTAGCTATCCAATAAGCTTGAGTCTGTGATCCACACCATACGTTCCTATTAAAAGAAAAGTTGGATCAGTAAGTATCTGTAGTCACTAGAATAAGTATGGGTATTCTTGTTTCCAAGCACTGTATTTGAAGCTTTGTTGCGTGTGCCTGTCAGTGGAATGCAGAACTATAAACTTTCACTTATCAACCATGATATTTCAAAATTTATCTTCTGTTCAACTTTTTGTACACAAACTATAAAAACCTACTGCAGCTGTAAATGTTTTCCCCAATCTGAAATGCAGATGAAAAATATCAGACAATCATGGAAATGTTAAACAGGGCAAATGTACGATAGTTCAAAAGTTACCAAAGGCTTGAAATATTGAAATCTCAGGAAAAGGGAACAGGAAGAGAAAAAATTGCACCAGTCACCAGATATTTTAAAATCACAAGTTTTCAAACAAACTTCTTTTCAAGCTGCAGCTAAACAAGGGAGTTAGAAAGGATGGTTGAGTGGACAAGGTGCCAGATGAGACTCAGGTTTGGCTCCTTGCTCTATTCAGACTTCCTGTATGACATTTAGGCAAATCAGTTAAGGCCAAAAGATGTTAGGTATTAAAAGATGCAGATAGGTGCAGAATAAGATTGTGCTCAGCACTTTATTTTTTTCCAGGTATATGTACACCTTTAAATGTATCTGGACTTTTCTCTCTGTTCATCGACTATGAACAGGGGATAACAGTACTCTGTATTTCAAGGATAAATACATAAAATATTGTAGGGTGCTCAAATACCACATCCTCTATATATAATGTGCATCTTCCCTCTCCCTCCACCCCAGTTTATGGAAATTGGGGTGTGCATCATATGTGAGAAATAGATTCCCCACAGGTCCAAAAATTTGGCAGTTGGGCAGTGGTGGCAATTAATGCTGCTACCACTCCCCCACCAAATTTCTAGACCCACGGGGAGACCCCTATATAGAGTATATGATTCCATGAGCAGCCCCAAACCTAAATGATGTGGGATGGACCTGGTACAGCCCCCCAAGTTGCATATCAACCTCTATTACTGCGTTGTTTCATATCAACCTCCTATTACTGCCTTGGAAGTCACTTAATTAGTGGCATTTCTGACAAACATTTCATACCAAAGAACTCAGTAGTAAATACTCAATTCAGCACTGATATTAACCTGAGTACTCTTTTTGAGGAATGATTTCTGCTGTATTTAAAATTAAAATACAGTAACCTGCTGAGTTTGGTTGTCAGTGGGCAAATCTGCACATGAAATTAATGCACAGCAACACATTCTGGCATGTACTGTATTTACATGTGGCATTTAGTCTAGCATGTACTGCATTTACATGTGTACCCAGGACCACAGCACAGAGCTGGGTTGGAGAAGCCCTGGTATAGCATTCCCTTTAAGCTGTGCATGTGCATGGCTGCAAATAAAAAATCATGCCGTGCAATAACTTTTTAATGATATGCACAAAGTGGCATACTGATGGAGGTGGGATTGGGGCATAGTAAGGGGCCATGGCCCCCAGGTGCCAGCCTTGGAGGAGTGGGGGGGGACGACGACACACATGCCCAGTGCCATAGCAAGGGGGTGCTAATGCTCCCCCTCCAACTGGCTTTGCATCAGGGTGCTTGCCACCCACCCCAATGTGGCCACAGGCTGCTGCAGGAGTGGGGAGGGGTAGGCAAACTGAGATACCTGTGTACTCCCAGCGAGGATTGCTCATGGATTGCTAAGCCTTAGAGGGAGCATTGCCCTGGTGGGCAGGGTTCTGGGGGTCAGCCTGCCAGCCCAGGGCTGTTCTGACTTGGCTCAAAGTGCTGCAGAGGGGCTGGCTGAGGCACAGGGCTAGCCAGCAAGATGTCTACACATGCACTGCTGCATAGTAAAGAACTCTGCCACAGGACAGTACTTGTAAATACTTGTTAACCTGCGGTGTGACTAATGAGTTTACTGTGGTCTAATAGGGCCGCACATGTAGATGCAGAGACTTTACTGCAGAGCCAATTAGGCAACTCCGCAAAAACATCTTGTGTAGACGCATCCAAAAAGATTCTAATGTGCTAATCCAAATCTGCATGATAATCACTCCAGCTAGACTAGAGGCCAATGATCTGCAAACTAGTTTCACTGGTCAAGACATGATAGCTGCCTCCCCTCAAAACCTTCTTATACTTTTTCAGAGCTCATCTATGCTGGGAAGTGGCAGATGTTTGCTTGGAGTTACTTAACCTGTGTTAACTAACCCAAATCAAATGTTTTTTTCCTAATCTAGACATAACTTAGTTAAACTTGTATTCAAACTGAGCTGACATCAACCCTAGAAAAAAGTCACATTAAGGCTAGGAACCGATACAGTCTGAATCCTTTATCTCCAAATGAAAACCTGAAACAATCCTAATTCATGTTTGGTATTTGAAGACTTTTGGAAGGATTTTTAGACGCAACATTTTCAATCAATATCCTTATAGCAGACACTACGTGAAGTTTTGAATTACTAGTGTCCAGTAAACGCAGAGTGAGGAAGACGTATAAATGACAAAATATTACTCAGAAGATATGCACTCACTATATTACCTTGCCTGGATTAAGAAGGTCATCTGCTTTTCATGCTAGAAGCTTGCAGTCTAGGCACTGTTACAACATAGGTTGCTTCTGAATGTGCACAACAGCAATAACAGTCAAGACTCCTCTCCCTACTACTATCTAGATTTAATTGAAAAAACCATCATCCAATAGAAATAGAACAATTATCAATGTTTTTCTAGGATGTTCACTGACTGAAGCTCAGACAGTATAAGACCATGCATTTAAGTGGAGAATGACTCCTGTTTTTTGTAATGTCCATAATTCAAACTCCATACTTCAAAATCTTAGTGCCTGCCAATATACTTTCAGATACTTGTTTTAATCTTTAAGTCTTTAGTGTTTAAGTCCTGGCTACCAGCAGGATTACCTCTCCCAGTGTAAAATGTGCCATTATGACCAGGAGAAATGCTTACTAGAACTTTCCAGTTTAATTCTCCAAGGGCACCTATACATGTGCAGTAAGTCTGCTCCAATGCACTGTACAGTGCATTGGAGTATACTTGAATTACTGTACACTTGTAATTCAAAACTGTATGAAATGTCTCCTACGAGGATATTGATTGGTATTTCAAGACTTTTTGGGAGGATTTTTAGAGATAACCTGAAACAATCCTAAATTCATCTTTGAAAAAGTTTTCATTTGGAGAGAGAGGGTTCAGACTATCAAAATCTAGCGCTAATGTCATGTTTTTCCTAGGGTTGATACCAGCTCTTTTGTAATACAAGTTTAACTAAATTATGTCAAGACTAAGAAAAAATGTTTGATTTGGGTTAACGCAGATTAACGAACCCCAAGCAATTAATAGAGTCTATTGGAGCATACTAATAAACTACGCTCTAGCAGACTCCAGTGTTATGTGCATCAGTGATCCAGTGCTGAAGAATGGCAGTGGGGGCACTTTGTCTAAAGCTCGTCAAACAAAATTTAGTTAAAGTGCCCCACCGCCATTTTTCAGTGCAGGGACACTGATGCACATGATGCTCCAGGCCCTTTAATTACAGCAGCTCCCAGAGCAGCTTAATTATAGTGCCATCCCCTTCTCCCCGCTTTCCTGGAGCACATGTATAAATGCCCCAAGGCTATTAATATTCCACATACTATGCCTCTCTGAAGATTTGTTCTGCCCAGTAACTGTTGGCTCTTTCAGAAGACAAAGTATGAACTACTCAAAGAAGTTTAAACAGGCAATCAATAAATAAATGGTATGGCACCTACAGCTGCCATTAACTTAAAACAAGACTGAAGACACTATTAGACCCTCAGGAGCTAGTAAGTGCTCAGCTCTCTCTCTCTCTATACAGTTTTGAAAGACCACTACAACATACATATAAAGTTTTGAAATAACTATTTATTGCCAACGTATGTTAATACTTCTTATCTTTTGCTAAACGTGTTAGTTAGCTCAAGTTAGTTTAAACTTAATTTCTTAACATTTACTCATTCATAAATTTTAGATATATAATTTCCCTCTGTCCATTTTGTTCATATACATGTTATTCTTATGAAAGTGCATTTGACCTGCTGGAGTAAAGTGGCATAAATAGCTGCTCAAGGCAAAAGCTATTGATTTATTAATAAAAGCAGACATATTGGCTAGTAATCAGCTATACTTATCGGTCTTGCCTCTTCGGTTTCACGACAAATGCGAAAAAACCCAGAAGTATATTTAAATGATCTCACCAACATGGTAGCACTGTTATAGTCATGCTAGAAGACTTGAGGATAAGAATTAATTTATAACCCAATGAGACCAAATATGCTGTAGTGAAGACATTGATGTAAAATACTTGGTACCATGCAAGAGGTTAAAGAATTTCATGTTCTTTGGTCCATGCAGTGAATTAAGTGCTCTGGAAACAGGTTTGCTCTTTGGGTAAATCACGCACAAAATTAGTTTCCTAATCCTATTGCCAAAAATGTAGCTCAAACTTGGTTTGGAGAGACCACTTCCAGAAGCAAGAGGCTAGATTATCTATGTAAACTTAATTATTGATTCCTTACTGAAACTTTCAATAAGGGCACCAATTCTGAGATGGTTTCCTGTCCAAAACAACTTAGACAGACCACACTTCATTTCAAATAAGTCAAACAGCTGTCAGAAAGTGGTTTCTACTTTTGGTTGCTATCCACCTGTGTCACAGTGAACCAACAGTGAAAGGTTCTGGCATTTCAGAAGAAGAGTCTTCTGGTCACTAATTATTTTACAGTACCATTTTCAGAACAACCATGGAATCTTCATACATAAAACTAATCTGTATATATAGTTGTTTTTTTAGAGCAGGAAATTCTCTGGTTTAGCTTGTAGTTGGAACAGTAGTTTACATTTTGAAAATAGAAGATATAATTTCTAATACCTCTTGGACTTTTAGATCAGTTTGCTAGAAACAGAACTCCAAATGTTCATGATCACCATAATTAGTTCACTCTTCCTTGCTATACTTGCTGTATCATATACATATTAATCCATACTTTAGGAGACTTCACAGTGGAGCAGTCCAAGATTAAAGTATTCCATTTTAGAAAATTACTTAAATGGCAAGCTGGGGAACATAAAGACATTAAAAATAAAACATGATTATATACAAATGTAGTAATATCAGACAAACATCTTTTTAAAGACCTTATTAATTGCATGAAACCTGTATATGAATAGCATATATTTTACTTCTGCAAGATGGAAGAATCTGAGATAACATGTTATCACACAAGCTGAATTTATAATCTATATTTATGGTAAAATTAATTGACAGTCATGTTGCCCATTAAAATTTTTGGAAAGAAAATGTGGAGGACTTCCATAAAAAACAAACTAACAGAAGAAAGCTATTTGGTATACAAATATTTCTACACTCCATGAGTAACAAATCTGCAATTGTGATACAACTGCAGACATCAGCATCTATCAGAAGTTTCTAAAGGCTGAAATATTTCTTCAGTCACTGAAGGAAGATTCACTATCAGAACTTTCTTCTGCATTTACATCATCTCCCCAAGCAGGAACAGCAGCATTTGGGGTCCTGTAAGTGACAAGAAGATTATACTGATTAAATTCTAGGAACAGGAGGAAGATGATGATGATGAACATAATACTATCAATAGCTTCATTTATTTACCATCTGTACCCAAGTAAATACATTTTATACAAAGAGTCAGTCAATAGTTTACAATTTAATACCTGAAGAGTTTATAATTTTGATTATAATTACTTCACACAACTGGAATTAAGTCTCAGAGCCTGTAAGTTATTAGATTTTAAGACCTAGCAGAGGTCAATTTGAAAGCACATCTTGGAACCTGTCAGAAAACTGCTTAGGTCACTAAGGCTATAAATCAGGGGCGGGCAATTATTTTGGACAGAGGGACGCTTACTGAATTTTGGCAAGCTGTTGAGGGACATGCGGGTAGCCCTGCCCCTTGACAGGTGCCCTGCCCCCTGTGACCAGAAGTCCCTCCCCTTGCCCCCAGAAGTGCTCTTTTCAGCAAGGGGTTTTGCTGTCTCAGAACCAGAAAGATACCAAGTTGTGTTCTAAAAAGCAAACATCTACAACATTCATTAATTTGATTTCAAAAAATATTTTCATCCTGATTTACATGCGTTTGTGTAACGTACATAGAGATGATTGCACAATAACGTAAAATGAAGTCCTACTCTTGTATATTGTGGGAGTAGTGGGGGGTATAGGGTTGTGGGGGGCTGTGTGTGGATAGGTGTGTGGGTGTGGAAGCATGTGGGTGTGTGTGGATCTGTGGGTATGGTAGTGCAAAGGGGTATATGTGGGTACATGTGTATGATGGGGTGTGCATGTGGGACTTGCCCTATGAATACACACACACCCCCCCACTCTTAACCCTGGGGTACCGGTGAAGGTCCTGTGCTCCTGTGGTGTAGCCAGGAGCCACGTGGTCCTAGAGCAGCCAGCAGTTGGCAGAAAAGCAGGGAAACGGCAGATACGGGGGGGGGGCAGTGCCAGTGCAGCCCAGAGTGGGATGCCAGGGGCACAGGACCCCCGTCCCCCTCTAGCACAGCTGGTGCTGGACCCTGTACTCCAGTGGCCCCACTTCGGGCCCTGCCAGTGCTGGCCCCAGGCCACTGACACAGGCCCTGCACTCCTGCCCAGCTGTCCCTGTGCTCCCACTCGCTGCCACTCACCCCCACCTGTAGTTGCCATTTCCCTGCTTTCCCGATGACTGCCGGCCACTCCAGCACCACACGACTCCTCACTGCATGGCTGGACTGTGGGATTCAGCAGGAGCTGGCTGGGACCAGCACTGAGGACTGGGGCGATCACCTGCGGCCCTCCCCTGCCTTCCCCCTCCCATCCTCATTCTTATCGGATTTTCCCTCTTGGGCGCACGGGGGCCCAGACCAGAAGGCTCTGCTAAGCATGGGGCTTCCAGTTGCGGGGGGCGGGCCTTGCTTCTGGGCTAAGTCCTGTCAACTTCCCTTGGGTTCTACTATCCCAGGACCCTGACAGGCAGCCAGGAACAGATAAATATTAATTATATAAATTTTTTAGGGGCGCCATGGGCCAGACAGAATGGTCTGGTGGGCTGCATCTGGCCTGTGGGCTGTATTTTGCCCATCCCTACTATAAATGGACATCATTTTTAGAGCTGGATCAGCTGTGCTGGGATGAGTGCTGAGGTAGCCTACTTGTAGACACCACTCCAAAAATTGAGCAGCAGCAGCCTGATATGCGAACCAAGAGAATACCTTGCAGGGGAATTCCTGATGTACAATAAGCAAGCAGACATCCTCCCATTTCAAGCATCACAAACTGTGACTACTTTTGGTTCTTGCAACATTTTTGGGCACTTGGAGTATGAAAATAGACTAGGACAGGGGTGCTCAACACTGTGGGCCTATGGACCAGATAAATGGCAAAGGGGCAGTCTATGGGCCAGATTGGGCCCTGGGGCCCAGCACTGCCCTCTCCTGGCCCCCATGTGCCGGGTTGGATCCTAAGGGACCGGCACTGTCTCCTCCTGTCCCATGCATGCTAGGATTGGGTCCCAGGAGCCTAGTCCTACTCCCTCCTCCCTGCCATGCACCAGAATTGGGCTCCAGGGACCTAGCTCTGTCATTGCCCAGCCTAGCAAGCTGGGATTGGGTGTCCCATCCAGTGCACAGAGCCTGGGGCTCTCCATGGGTCCAGAAATCTGGCAGCTAGGAAGGCAAATTTGGCAGCAGGGGGCCTTACTTTCCTTGGAGATCTCACAAGAACTTACCATGCTTAACACTGCCTAGCTTGTAAAATCTGTCAGGTTCCAAGACTCATGTAGTAGCTATCCAGATAAAACTATGCATAAAGTCTACATAAAATGATGGAAGATGCCTCCCTCTTAGGCGTGGATTTTTAGATTCATGAAAACTAACTAAGAGCTCATGATAAACTGGCATCTACAATACAACATATGACAAAACACAGACTGTCTTAGCAGTTGGGATATCAGTGATGGTGTTTGAGTTCTATATTCAGTGCTCATCTCCCACTTCTTGCCATAGAATTCTTACATTTTACTTGCTTTGATTTAGGTGCTTAGAAGTGCCAAAGGTACGTGGCAGTACTCTAAAATACCTGACAAATACCTTTAGAAAAGCAAAAGCTTTCCCACGCAAATCCATCTAGAGGCCACCCTTCAGCATTATTTCTTACCTCCATTGTAATGGAGGGACACGAAAGCACTATGGAGCAATCTACCCTGGGAAGACTGACCGAGGAAAGACTTTGGTAGGATCAGAGGGATAGATACTGAGCCCTGAAGTTCGAAATGTAGGAAAATACACCTTTGAAAGTGTGAAGAATAACAAGAAAGAAGGGGGGGAGGCACGCACAGAAATTTGGATATGGAAAGAAAAGATGGAATTCGGAAAGTTGTGGAACAATAGCAGGCAAGAGAGATGGATGACAAAGAGGTAAACGGCAAAGAAAGAGAACTCTACCCTACTAGAAATGGCTTTTCTCTCCAGTGCAGAAAGGCAGTGCTGCCTTCAGAGAAGTCAACTCTGACATTATAAAGCATCTGGAGAAGTCAGATTGCCTGCAGAAAAAACCCCTAAAGTATGATGGTAACCTTTATTAATAAAAGAGTAGAAATTAGAAGAACAGACCAGACTGTCCCAAAGACCTAACACAGTGTTCTGAAATGCCATGCATTAGGGCTGTGAAGTAAGAGAGAAGCCTTACTTCAAAAAAAAAAAAAAAAAACCACCACCAAACTACATTTGTGTGGATAAATGAAGGGAAAGAGAAGGCTGCCCTTTTTTGGTACTAAAACACTTTCTAGTGTTTTCAAGTTTATCAAAACACTTGCTTGCAGATTTAAAAGCAAGTGATATTCCTTCTCCCCCACACCAATAGTTTTTTTGTACACATTAGTTGGTTAGAAAGAGATTTCTATATTAACAAATTTAAAATAATCACGTAAGTGATTTGTAGGACCTTTAGAGAGGGACTGAGGTTGATCCCAAACAATGTTCTGTTTGTCTCAATCAAAAAGTGTCAGTGTTGGGGGGGAGGGGGACAGTGAGTGTACTATTTATTTCAAAGTACTTCTAAAAGCAAAAAAAGCCAATATCAGGTTTTGTTTTGTTTGTTTGTTTTAAGAACTTCTAGCTTCTATTTTGCTATTCACACTCTCTCTTTCAGATTAATTTGATTAGAAGCCTGGACTACTACCAATTTTCTCTAAACAAGTAAGAGTGAGAAGTCTGAAGAACTTGCCAAGTATCTAGGATTTTCAAAGTTTTCCTCGCCTCCTTTTCCTTTACACTTTTATTCTCCATTTCCTTATTTAACAGTTTTATGGATCAGATAAACATGTTCTGTTTCAGCAGTTATTCCTAAAGATAAACTTGTAAATCTTATTACAAAGAAGTGTTTGTTTCATGTCAGGCTTGTTGTAAAATACAAGTCTCATTCCACAAAATTAAAAAGGTGAAACAGACTTCTTGATATCTTGGTACTTTTTTTTTGCAAAAGGCTCAGAAGTGTGTTACATATTCAGTTTAGCGATCATTATGTATGAAGTTTACTGTTCAACACAACATCTAGTTTTTTTTAGTAAACTTCTTTTACGGTTACACTGATTCTAAAGTTATACCTGCTCCTTCCACCTATAAACACAAGAGAAATCCAAAGGTAATGTGCTTATGGGCAGACAAGTGACTTCATAAAATAGTATCTTTGTTTTCAATATCCACCCCAACCTGCACATTAAATTTGTTACATCAATTATTAAACATTAAATTAACCTCTGGCCCATAAAGCCTTGGAATCTGGCCCATGGGGCTCACCACAAGGATTGGGAAGTTTGGTGGCAGGGGAGCAGTGGCAATTAATATTGCCACTCCTCCCTGCTGCCAAATTCCCAAAACACACTCAGTGAGTTAGACCTGGGCCACAACCCTTCCTCCACACAGCTGGATTGAAACCAAGCTGTCCCCTGCCCCTCTCTGCACAGCTGGATCGAGCCCTGCTGCACTTGCCCTGGGTGCTGAATTGGGTCTGCTGGCCAAATCCAGCCTATGCAGGGACCAGGCATTGCCCATCTGGCCTGCTTAAGAAAAAGGTTTAAGCACCGCTGATTTACATTCAAAATTATTATAATTCATGGAATTACAAGTTCAAGTCAAGATGATAGCCAATTTATGTGCATTAGTAAAGTAAAGAATCTGGCAAGAAGCATGCCATCTATCACATAAGAGGCAAAAATCGAACAAAGTGCTAATAGTTTGGTTGTAAAGTAAAAAAAAAAAAAACCTGGATAAAACACCTTTAAAAACCAAGAAAACCAAAAATGTACTCTCTGCCACTTTTTCGATCCTGACCAACTTTTACTAGGAAGTTGTAGCACTATATGAAATTATTCCAACAGCAGCTGTCAGAAGTATCTTCACAGCTTGCTTTATGATTTGGGCTCAACATTATCATTGCTTTTCTCACAGTGCATTACCATTGTATGAAGCAGAAGAAACTCTAGAAGTACTCTAGCCCCATCAAATTAAAAAAGACAGTAGTATTACTTACTCAAGTAGATCTGGGTCTAACCCCTCAGAAATCATCTTGTTTCTTATTGCCATAACAGGAACACCCTGGATAGGGAGTGGGAGAAAGGTAGAAAAAGTTAGGTCCTTCTACAGCCAAGTAAAGTAGAAAAGATCATATTCAGTGATTTACTATATTAATTGAAATGCATCAGTTTAAGTTCATAGGAAAATAGGGCTGAAAGGAGCCTGATGAAGTAATCTAGTCCAGCCTGCAATGAAGACAGGATCATCCCCGACTAAACCATTGCAGCCAAGCATCTGTCTTTCAATCCCTTGAAATTTTCAAGAGCAGGTGATTCTACAACACCTCTGTTCCATTGCTTTATTATCTTCATAGTCCGGTAGTTCCTCTTAAACTCCAACCTAAATTTCCCCTGCTCCAGTCTGAGACCTTTACTCCTATTCCTGTTCCCAACAGCCACAGAGAAAAAGCCCATCTCCATCTTCTCTATAAAACTGCCTTTCAACGACCTGAAGATTTATCAAATCCAGTGTTGCTAAATCCCTGAAGTTACCGCACCCTGAATATTTCTCTGGCCTTTAAAAGTAGAAAGCGCAGGTGACATGGTACACAAATTGTTATCACACTTACATATGTTTAAAAGTAAAGCTGATAATTTTGCACAAAAAGTTTTGAATACACTGTTTAACTGGATGTCGAAGGTGCTGGTAACAGAATACAAGTCTTTCTTCTCTTAGATGAGTGGGGCTTAACCTCTCTAGCACTGCAGGCTGGGTGGCTGGTGCAGGGCCAGATCCCAAGGAGGGGCAGTGTGCTGCTGGATTTCCACTGGCATGCAGTTGCTCTGTGTACGAATCTGGGATGTGCGACCAGGTCATCTGGAGCACAAGATGCCCCACTGCTTCAGAAAATCTGGTGGCAGGGGAGCATTAACTGCCATGGCTCTGGGAGCAATTAAAATCACTACTGTTCCTCTGCTGCCGAGCCTCTGGAGAAATGGGGAGTCCCATGGGCCAGATGACATAGCTTTTTGGGCCACATCATATTATGCGATGGCCATCATGTAATATATAGGAAATGAAAGAATTGCCTTCTCATTGCTACAAGCAGTCTCTCCAAGTTGTATTTTAACTAGATCAACTTTATCTAGAAAAATAGTTGATTTGTTTCCAGCCACTGGTACATTTCCACCAGCAGTAAGAAGGGTGTACACACTGGAGTCAGGGTCCAGGTGTTCTTACTATATTACCTAACCCACTTGGAGTTGGCTAGTTTCTAATATGTGTTATGGTGAAAGCGGGTCTTCAGGAAACCATTCAATGCTGATAGAGTTAATTAACAAAAAATGTTCCATATGCAAGGGAGGCAGGAAAGGGAATGTGGGTGCAGCTGGAAGAGAGATAGAAAATGCTAAGAAGTACGCCCAGCAGTGGAGATGTGACTAGGTGCAACACAAAAAAGATAAAGTGAGAAAATACGAGGGAACATTTACATAAGGCCTTGAAAACAAAACCAAGAAGCCTAAACTTGATGTAGCAGAGTATATGGAACAAGTGAAGGGTTTCAAGTAGCGGGGTATACAAGAGAGATTGAGAAGCTGAGAGGGAAACCTTTTTTTGGCCTTTTATTAACCTTTATTATAAGTTTTTAAAAAAAGGTTTAAAAAACAAACAAACCTCAAGAAGTTAAAAGCACAGAACTAGTAATGAAAACAAATAACAAAGACCAATTTAAATAAAATGAGAATGAGGAAACCCCCTGTGCCTCCCCAATTCTCACATACCAGCCAGCCCGTCTCCACAGTACACAGTGCCCGCTCAGTGACTCAGCAGGATGCAAAGTGGTCCTTGTTTTGCTTTAGGCCAGAGTGTCCAAACTCAAAGGCCAGATGTATTTGATTTAGAGCTAAAAGAGGCACTGGGTGTCAGAGCCAAGAGCAAAAGAGAGGATGACGACCTTAACAGTGCTCTTTTGAATGACCCGGGAGACAGAAATTGAGTATCTGAAAGAATTTCAGATGTAGAGACTGAAAATAAAAAATGTAAAGGTGTTGGAAATATGCAAGGAGAGACAACTTGATTAAGACACAGACTGGACATGCAGAACAAGGTAGAGAGGGGTTTGTCAGAAATAATTCTCCTCCATCCCCGCCAGCTGAGGGTTCAGTGCCAGGGAGATTCTTGTTACTGCTAAGACAAGGAGAATGGGGAGGACTAGAGAAGAAATATCAGGACTCATTTTAGACCATATTAAGGGTTTGGCAATATATTCAGAGACAGAATCAGTGGGGTGGCCTGGTAAGTTTGTTAAACTTACCAGCATAAAGATGGGAAGTTAAAGTCATGCAAGTAGATAAGATCACTTGAAGAAAGGACCCAAAATGAGAAAAGGAGGCACAGGAAAAAAGTCTGCAGGACAGAACTGGAGAACCCAAGAGACAGGCAAAGGAGGAGGCGGGGTATCTGTTAAAAGTCAGAGAGAACATTTTAAGGAGATACTGGACTGGAGAAATTATTAAAATGATGTGATAGGGGAAGAGGACATAAAGAGAGAAGCATCCTTTTAAAATATGTTCTCCGAGTACTACTAAGAAGATTCAAGTCAGGATGTGTAATGGCAGGGGGACAGATAGACAAATACTTAATGCTTGTGTGGTAACATTTAGAGAAAAGTGCTTCCCTTTCATTGCAAGCACTTCCACCATTTATACACTTTACCTTAACCAGCAAAACCTAAACATCCTCCTGGGCAAAATGCTCAAGAACAGTTTGACCCATAACATTTTACAAGGCAAGTTCTAACAGAAACTACTCCAGTTTCAAAGGGCGTTAATAAAGACTGACTTGTTGCTTTGCCAACCTCAGCTGCAGGGGTTAAGAAATGTCATCTGGATCACAGTATGTCAACAGGGAGAAAAAAAAAAAAAGGTCCAACTTTTGATTTATCAGGGACTGAGTCACTGGTGGTCTAGAAAGGATAGGAGACCTCAAAACTAAATGAAAATTAATGTGGGATTCTTTGGGCAGTGGACAAATGCAGTTTATCCAAAGCAAGCAAAATAAAAGAAGGAAGAAAGGTGGCAGACATGGCTGATGTTTCAAGGAAGCATGTCTGTATCAGTATCAATAAAGACAGTACACAGTGCAGTCAACCTGAAACCATAACAGCAAAAGCTAGTCCTGCTCCTGTGAGTAATATTTCTCTGAGTACATTTGCATTAACAACCAACTTAAAGTTGCAGTAATAGTTTTAACCATTTGAGAGTAAGGGATTTTGCCCATGTATTAAAAAGGTTACAGAAAAAAAGGACTTAAAAAAATCCTTTGATATAGACCAGGGGTCGGCAACCCCTGGCACGTGTGCCAAGCGTGGCACGCGAGGCCATTTTGCTTGGCACACTGCAGCCAGCCCCGGCTCCAGGAAGCTGCTGCCAGCAATGGAGCCCGGGCTGCTCCAAGCAGGGCTTGCAACGTCCCAGCTGCCTGCTGGGAGCAGCCTGGGATACTGGCTGGCAGCAGCTCCCCAGAGCGGGGGCAGCTGTAGCTGGGAGGCTCCAAGCAGCTGTGCTGGGCTCCGGCACCAGCTCCGCACCCGCATGAGCAGGCGCACCTTGGAGCGGGCGGCGGGGGAGGGGCCTGAGGCAGCGCAGCCCCGGTCTCTCCCCAATTCCCGGCATGGAGGTGATGAGCCCGGCACAGCTGTCTGTAGCCAGCCCGGGCTCTGGGCAGCTGCAGCAGCAGGCTGGCTACAAACAGCTGTGCTGGGCTCATCACCTCCATGCTGGGAATGGGGGAGAGACCGGGGCTGCGCTGCCTCAGGCCCTGCCCCCACCAAGGCGTGCCTGCTCGCGTGGGTATGGAGCTGATGCAAGGGTAGCTGCTGGCAGCCACAGAGTCCAGACTGGGGGGTAGGGGCAGCAGGGCAGCAGCTGTGAGTGGGGGGCAAGGGGCAGCAGGGCTGGGGGCCAAGGGCTTTGGGTGGGGAGCAAGGGGCACAAGCATGGCATCCTGCCATGTACTCCTTGCCTTCATTTTGCTTTTCTGCCATGCTGGCACTCTGGCACCTTTCAAGATGGGCATTATGGTGTTTTTCAGCACTCTGGCCAAAAGATGTTGCCTACCGCTGATGTAGAAAGTTGACAATAGCCTAGATTTTGTTACAATCTATTACAAAGGTGTAAGATGGCATGAGTTCCTACCCAGGTCCAAACAATAATCATAAAGAGTAACTTACTGTGGGGCCTGGTTTTGTTAGCAAACAAAGTTTCAAGGACATGCCTAAGTAAAATTGAAACCTGAGGCCAAATCCTATTCCTCCTACTAGGCATCCAAGTGCAAGCCTTTCCTACCTTACTTGAGTCCCTGAAAAGCCATTAGTACATTTACATTTGTAATGTTTTTTCCAGAATTTTGTACATCAGAATTTCTAATATAGTTATAAAAACATAGCTGATGATAGTCTTTCCACACAGCTCCCACAGAGGGAAAAGTGAATGTTGTTAAAAAAAACCCAAACAAACAAACCAAAAAACAAACCAAAAAAAAGTAGGAGATGCCTAGGGTAAAACAAGCACACACCTATTCATCTGATGCAGTGAAAAATCTTTGAGCCAATATTATAACACAACATTGAATCTGTCAATCAAATTAAATTTAGCCTCAAACAATGCAAGAGAAATTTAAGATCACGTTGAAATTGACAGTCTTCTTTAAAGAATGATGAGCTAGTAGCTTGGAGTTTTATGAAAGTTGTCTTGAACCAAAATATCTTATCAGACTATTTCTTAAAGACTTATGATGAGGTAAGCTGCGTGGTTCCTATGTCTCACCTTAAATTTAAGATGTTCCACCAAAAATTAAATCTGCTCATAAGTACATAAACTCCTTCTGGCACACACAGCTGCCTTTTGAAATACTCAGATTATTTAATTCGGGTGCATTTGATCATTTTAAAGGAATTTCTTTCAACTGTTTTTCTACCAATAGGTTATTCCCTCTCACAATTTGAAAAATGTTCCTTAACGTAAAAGGAGGACTGCTGCTCAAATGTAGAAACGTCATTTGCATCACACTACCCTCACTGG